GAATATGTTCATTTTGATCTCGAATATTTCCTATTATTCAATTTGGTCCCTTATCTTATCAAGAGCAAAGTTGAAGGACTGAAGAAGTTAAACAACAACAACAACAAACTTTTATTCCTATGTGGGGTCGGATATATGAATCATTTTTCTCCATTGTGTCATGTTAAGGGAAAATTATTAGCGGAGACCGGACGTAGAGATGCATCCGGACATCCACTTAAAATTTGACATGTGGACTGCACTTTGGTTGCACTTTTTGTGCGTTTTACCTGCGCTTTGACTGGTCTTTTGTTGCGCTTTTTTACTGCGCTTTGATTGTGCTTTACCTACGCTTTAGTTGCACTTTTGTTGCGTTCTGGCTACTCTTTTGTTGTGCTTTTTTACTGCTCTTTAACTGCGCTTTATCTGCACTTTACCTGCACTTTATCTGCGCTTTAGCTGCGCTTTTGGCACGCTTGACTTAAAGTTCCACGGACACATTAAATATATAAAGTAAAAAATAAATCCAATTGAATATCCACATGTCCTCTCCACTTGTCAACATTTTATTGGAGTCTAAACGTACATCTACATCCAGTGTCCGCACCTAATAATTTTCTCATCTTAAGAGTCAAATTCTCATTTAAATCATTTCAATATTTTCTAACCAAGTCTTTTTAGGTCTACCTCAACCTTTCTTAACATAAGTCAAATATAATACATCTACTTTCCTAATCGGGTTATTGGACGGCCACATTTTCTGTGACCAAACCATCTAAGGCGACTCTCTCTAATCTTATCTTCCACTGAAGCTACTCCAACCTTTTCACGTATATGCTCATTTCGTATCCTATCTCTAAGAGTAAAGCCACTCATCCACCTGACCATTCTCATCTCTGCAACACTTTCTTAATATTATGCTTCCCTTTTAATGGCCAACATTCTGCACCATAAAAGGTTAAGAATTGACCTATAAAAGGAGGTCATGAAAACCTTGGTTTGACCATTTCCCTAGTTAGCTCAAAAGAGCCCTACACAGGTCTCAAAATCCATCAATCATTCTCTATCATTGGGTGATTAAATTCATCCCTAGGCAATATGATTACATCTTCCAAAGCTACATATAACTCACAATTGATATGAGTGAACCACTCCTATCTTAAGTTTAGGCTAATCTGGTTTGGCCATGGGCTCAATTTTTGTGGTCTATCTACCCCTAGTGTGACCCATGTGAATCCTCAATGAGTCAACCTAAAATAGTTCATGCATGCTCTAATTTGTCACATAAAACTCGCTAGTCTACATGTAGACCATAGGTCCTAACTATTTTATTATGAGCTAAATACTTATCATTGTGATCTCATAACTGATGCACGTTAGTAGGGCTTGATTGGGTATTAGATTGAGCTCCTTGAGTGGCCATATCATGATTATGGGCTTAAGGTTGATCCTTGATGTAATCCAACTGAAATAGGAAAATACGGGTCAAACCACCTTCTATTTGAACACAAGGAATAGCTCCTGCATACATATCCTTAATGACTTGAATATAAGTATTATTATCCCCCTTCTTTTCTAGAACTCTCCATAGGACTTCTCTTGAAACTTTATCATATGCTTTCTCTAAATCAACAAATATAATATGTACATCCTCCTTATTCTCTCTATACTTCTACATCAAACCTCTCAATAAATGCATAGCTTCCATAGTAGATCTTACCGGACTGAAGAAGTGAAAGTTTGGATAAATTGAGGAACAATATTGGAGAGTAGGAAAATCTGGGGCCAAGATAATCAACTCAAATAGTTTGGGGACTAATTTGATTATTTTCTCTATTTTAGTGAAACTTGGTTGCAATGAGATGTGCAAAAATGCCATTCATGCGTCATAGCCTTTCTCTCACCAACCAGCCCATCCTATTTATATATCCTACATAATATTCAACAATCAAAAACAGATAACAGCCCTTCATGAACATCGCTTAAGAGAGCATCTACTTCGAGAGAAGTGAACTACAATGCTAAACAAAAAAGAAAGGATAATTCCACAATTTCTTAGCACAAGGCCTGGGGACAACGTATTAATTTATCCATCTAATAAGAAATGCTTTCTAATATAAACTAATTGAATAGAGTGCAATAAATTCCACAGGCCTTCAATAATGCAGGCAAAAAAAATGCTGAAACACATTATACAGGATGGTTCCATTTCAGTTCAAAAAATAAAAGGGCATATCTAGTGCAGCGAAAACCCATTAATGAGAGAGGGAATGACGTGCGCAAGCTTGCCCCTATATTTTCAAAGGTTATTAACGTGACTCAATCTCAATTCACCACTCTATCATAATATTACAGTACTTCGGCTCTTTTGCCAATAATATAGGACTCAAGCTCCTCACAAAATATAAGTTCCACCTTTCCAAACCCAAATCATTGCAATCGATTGACCTTGGAAGTAAAGTAAATATGATAACACAAATTTAACGAATAATTCTTACATACAAAAACATAAAAGCAATAAACTAACCACTCTAAGATGGATCTCCATAATCATTGCAATTTCTTGGGGATGACAAAAGAATCCCTTTGACATCTGAAAAGCTGCTTGACGGAGAGTTGAGCATTCTGATTTGTTGTTGTTTTCAAAACATTGAAGAGAAAGAACAATGGTAGAAGTTATTTCTGGCTCAAGTAGCAAAAATGTCAAGCCTGGAGAATAAAGGAAAATAAGAAAAGTCTCAGAATACATATGTTATCCGCATAAACCCTCCCTCAAGAGATTTTATGTTCTATGAGCAAACACTAGCAAGGTCAAATGAAAAACCTGAACGGCAAAACAGAAGAGCCAGAAGCAGTGACTGAAATAAGACGGCAATTTCCATAAAGATTTCAGCTACAATTCCAGTAGCTGAATGCAGTGATGGAAAGGACAATAAAGCTGCTGACAAAGGAAAAAATCCTCTTTCCTGTTCACATGGAGCATCCATAAAAGATAGATACCAATTTGACATATTTAAAATTATAAACACCCTACAAATAAGAATAAATTTAAAGAATAACAAACTAATATCTAAAGAAAATAGAAGTATAACTATCCAAAATATATATTTTAACTTTTGAACACCCATCAAATAAGAACAAATTTAAAGAATATCAAACTAACATCTTAAGTACATAGACAAAAGGGCCATAAAAAAAAAAAGTCAACAAGAGCAAAATGAGAAAACCATTCACCACCCGAAAAGATAACACTGTTGAAATAAAAAATCTCAAAGGAGCAATTTATGAAAATGAAAGAAGGATCAATAATGGTAGTTAAATATAAACGTCCTCTAATATTGTCTTTAACATGTCCAAGAACAAAGGCGATTAGTTAACAGATGAATTGGTAAGGAGGGATTAGTTCACAACACTCTTCAGTATTGTTTTTAAGATGTCCCATAACAAAAAGAGGCATTAGCAAGCAACACACAAAACATGTTTAATGTTCGTATTCACTCTAGTGAAGATACCAATAAAACGTAATGAAGCACCAGATAAAGTAAAATGAATCCAACCTTTAGAAGTGACAGCAAATGTACGTCAATATCCCAAGTCAAGAAACTATATTTAGAAAAGGCAATGTAGCCGGATGTTGCTTTGTATGATAAAGGCCCATCAGGTTTACCAGTGCTTAAAGATCTTCTTGCGATGCCAGCAGGAGATGGATCCTCAAATGGTCCACATAAATTTAACAATTTCTGAGTCATTTTTTGCCACTATGAGTTTAAAATACGTATAAACATATATATATTACAATATCAGCCGTTAAAAAAACCAGAGGAAGAAACTAACCAGAATTTGTTTGATTTGGGAAGAAGCACTCAAAAGTGAATTTACTGTGTCAGCTTTAGATGGACAATCTAAAGAATGATTTTCCACAATAGATAACACTAAAAACTGCAAGAAAATAAAATTGACTGGTGTTATTTCACATATGCATAACCAAATAAAGTCCCGTGCATACAAGAGAACAAATATTGCAGCATTTTATCAGCAAACACAAACCTCGTATCTTGAGGCTAATTCATAGATGCGCAATCGATGCAGAACATAGGAGGCAAGATAAGCAACATCATGTCTCTGTTTCCTAAGAAGCAATTTCAGCAAATTGCAGTAACCTTCACTTTTAGTAGCTGGCACATTGTCATCATTTCTAGGCCACCAGCCCAAGAATGCTTCACAGCCAACCGCATGTCGAGTAGCATTCTCAATAACACCAAGTAAAAGTAGTGTAAAAGCTGTAGAGCATCGCATCTCATCACCCAGTAAAGTAACAATTCGTTCCATTCCACCTCCATTGACAAAATGGTAACAGCTCTCACTTGCCGAGCAAACCAAAAGAGCCATGCTTAATCCAAGGGTTGACTTTTTGTTCTACCAAATGAAGTTTTATCATTTTCCATGTTTAATGATGCACGGGCATGCTGTTAATAATACATAAAAGTCAATTTGAGAGAATAAAATGGATAGATCTAATGTTACCTGGAAGATATGTGGAATATCAAGAGACGAGAAGTTCTGCAAAAATGGGAATTGCTGATACAGCATATCAACCACCAGTTGAGAGGTAACTGAATCAGAACAAGATGCGTCAACAGTGTCTAGCAATAGGTTCTCATTCCGTGCTGAGCTTTGGAGGAACTGATAAACTTCAAGCATCTCATTTGTTGCCTCTGAAATAACTGAAAGGACTTTCTGCAGGTCTTCTCTGACACATGTGGCATTACGGAGCCTCAATTCATTTCCACTGGCAACAATGCCACAATAATTATTATTAACATGTGATTGGAGAGTGGTTATAATGGTTCTTATTATCTTAAGAATGATGGCCTCATCATCAGAGAGTTGACAGATCTTCAGAGCCAAATGTAGGAACTGTCTCATTTCAGACGAAATATCCAAATCTGAAAATGGAAGTGACAGCGACAATGTGGAAGATACTAATTCCTCAATGGTCCACTTATCTGAAAACAAAGCAGGTGGCAGATCTTCAAGCTTTCCATCCAAAGGAGAGGAAACTAAGCTAGCCAAAGAATTGTCCACATCAAAATCTATATTGAACTGCCCCAAATCTTCTGCAGTATTACCATAAACTACGAGTGTGATGCTTCGATAACAACCTCTTACTACTAAATGGCTGGTAACTATAGCCTGCATGATGCCAATTAACATGAATCAGCAGGATAGTAACATTATATTTTAGTGAACTCCAAAAATACTGATGTAAACCCAAGCTCCGCATAATTAAAAATAGCAAATATTATACAAGAAATCATATGAAAAAATTTACAAAATAGGCATTCCAGCAGATTCATTTAGAAACACAATAATACGAGGATTTGTTGGCAGTGCCTTGGATCTCGTGATAAACAGGTTAAGAATCATGCCCAGTAAAAAAAAATATCGACAGGTAAAAACGATTAATGACATTAAAAAAAATCAAATACCAAGTGCATGCGAACCAATTCCTCTAATAATCTTGCATATATTCATGAATTTAGGCGATAAAGAATAAAACAGAATCAATGAAGATGTGCCCACGAGTAGGGCTACAAACGAACCGAGCCGACTCGAGTATGCGAGTGTTCATGTTTGAGTTCGTTTATCATTAGCTTGTTCAAGTTCGGTTCATGTTTGATTCGAGCTTTATTGTTTTTGTTCATGTTTGGTTTGTTTAATTTAAGGGTGTTCATGTTTGGTTCATGTTCGGTTCATGTTTGGTTCATGTTCGGTTCATGTTTGGTTCATTTAATACATATCGAGCTTTAAGCAAACAAGCTTTAACGAGCTATGTTCATGAATATATTTAACAAACAATCTATTGAAGAAACAAACATTAAATTTGTTCGTGAACATCTTAAACAAACAATCTAACAAACATAGACAAATGTGAAATGTCTTTTGTTCAGAAAATTAAATTTATAATAAAAGCAATTATCTATTTAAAATGAAAATATGATTAATCTATAAGAATATATTCTTAAATGAAGCTTACCTATTGCATTTCTCTCCATTCGAGCTTTTATCGAGCTTTTTATCGAGCTTGTTCACGAACTTCAAATGATGTTGTTCGTGAACATAAATGAACCGAACACATTAGTGTTCAAGCTTGTTTATTTAAGGATCGAGTATTTAAAATGTTCTTCAAGTTTGTTTGTTTAGTTAGTTAAACGATCACAAATAAGCTTTAATCGAACCGAGTATCGAGTAGCTCGTCGAACGCTTGGTTCGCTTGCAGCCCTACCCACGAGGTCATAAATGAGAAATCAAAGAATATTATATATTTGTAGAGCACATACTAATATTGCGGGTTGATGCATTTCAGTTGAAAGACCTGACGTGGCGAAACCTTGGGTAAAAATGGCACTTGGTGCAGTTATTGCGCTTAAATCATTTTTATGATTCCCAAGATACGGAATCATATGAATCATGGATAAACTCCATGAAAGGAGGATTAAAGATTCGTATAAATTACTTAAGGGAAAATGTCCCAAAGAAATCCAAAGAATAACTAAAAACCCTATTATAGAGAAAAAAGTAGCTATCATTCCTTTTTCTAAAGAATTATGTAATCCTTCGATTTCATAGGCTAATAAGTTCATCAAATGAATCAGAATCACAATTGAGATGATCGAAAAGGAAATATGAGTTAATATATGTTCTAAGGTTGCAAATATCATAAAGAAGAGTCCCTTTTAAATAATTGAAATCGGGGAGGGGATTAAATAGAATCTAAAAGAGAATATTTAAAATATTCTCTTTTAGATTCTATTAGATCTATTGTGTCTATATTATTAATATGAATAATTCTTTATGCCGCCACTCGGACTCGAACCGAGATGCTCTAGCACTGCTTCCTAAGAGCAGCGTGTCTACCAATTTCACCATGGCGGCTTACCTTAAATAGTAATATAAAAGGAAATTCATGTTGAATTGTCGATATTCAATAGAGTTTAGGAAACAAAATCTCATCACCAGACTGTATTTCTATCTTTTGGAATTATCTTCCAAAAGGTTTAACACAAACAACTTTCAATTCCAAAAGGTTTAATACAAACAACTTTCAAATACCACAATACAAATTTCAAACCAGAGAAAATTATTCTGCAACTGCTGGGCTTCAGAATAAGCAATAACATACCCAACAGTCAAAATAAACAAATTTGCCCATCATATTTAGACATACACTATGTACTCTTCTAGGGACCATAATTAAGTCAAGCTTGATTGTGAACCAACTTAGGCTCGGCTCGACAAATGGTTTGTGATCCAAGCTCAACAAGTTAATGAGCCAAGCTTGAACTAACCCCAACTTGACATATCAACTTGTGTGCTAGCTCGTTTGAAATATATTAAAATAAAATACACCTAAAACATATTGTCACTACAAAATTATTTAAAAAATCAAAAGATTACATCTCTCTTCCTTATTTAAATGATTTTTTATTATTGATAATTTAATTCCACATTATTCTTAATATATTATTATAATAATTGCTTGAATAAAATTATCTTCTTTTGTCATAATAAATGAGTTGGCTCATAAGTCACCTCAAACTTGTACAATTAAGCTTGAGTTTGAGCTTGAACTCAAATAATTAATCAAGCTCAAGAAAAGGGTGGCTCAAGCTCGCCTTGACTCATTGACAACAATTGATACATGTAATAAGTCCAATATTCTCTGCATTGCACTACACTAAGGTACTTTATAGCAATGAGTCATATCCATGGGTAGATTTAGGGAGGGATGTGCCCCCCTCCAAAAAAAAAAATCCTTTTAAATATTTTTTCCCTGTTTTCCACGTACACAAAGCTTTTTTTTTTTCTTTTTTCCTTAGTCGGTACGTGCCCCGTCTCTCTCTCTCTCTCCCCCCCCTTTCTTTGCCATTTTTTTTATCTAGCAACCTCCTCCACTAGCTCCTAGCTCTCTCTCTCTCATGAAGGGTGACACTATTTTAAACATTTTTTTATTTATTTTCCACTTTATTTCTCTCTAATTTTGAAGTTCACCATTAATTTTTAATGACTTTTATTAGACTATCTTAAAATTATTTTTGCTATGTTACTGTGCTATATCCATCTTAACAATACTAGTATTTTTTTTAAATTTAAAATTTTCATCAATTTTTTTTCTTATTTAAAAAATTCAAAATTGAAGTTTATAGGAGATTTATGTAATTAAAGCCAACAAATTACATTAGAGGAGAATTATAATATTTAAATTTAAATCAAGTAGCTTAAAATATGATGAGTACGAACTACGAATGTATGATAATATATCGTCTAAATAAATTTGTGTTGAAATTAATTTAGATGTGCATAAAAATAAGTTTTTTTCATTATCATAAAATTTATCTTCTTATAATTAACAACTATAACAAAAAAAAATCAAAAATCATGAGTATTTTTAAAAGCATAAATTTGTGCCCCCGTAGATAAAAAATCCTGGTTCCGCCACTGGTCATATCTATGCATGTCAAATTCACATATATCATTCCTTCATCATGAAATGAAGAAAAATATATACAAGTAGCAATTAACCAATCTTCAATCTTCATAAGAATATATATGAGAATACATTGGAGGAGAATGTTACCATTGCACTTGTAATAGTTCAATCGGCTAGGATGTTAACTTCAGTGAAGGGACACAATCAACCCCAATTGTATTTAAAAGTATCTACATATTGACTAAAGTGTATACTAAAACATAACACTTCTATTATGAAAAAATTAAAAAGTAAAAGCTGAATAAGCCTAAACAAGAAATGTGTAATGGTAATTGCAAAACAAATGAATATAAGAATATATTTAAGCAAAACCCCCCAATTAAATTGCTAATTGAACTGTGGGACTTTGAAAGAATACGAAATAGATTTGGAGGGAAACAAAAGAAAATAAATATGGCATGCTTATAAAAACTAAAGGGAAAGGAGAATTTTCAAAGATATTGGGTAAGGTTAAATGCCATAATAGTTGGTTAAGTTAAGAAAGTACCCTTTAACAAACATTCCAACTAAAGGGAAAGGAGTATTTAGACTCAAGGAATGATTATGAATGATGACAATTATGAGTGCTCTTCCCTTTTGACCCTAATTATGTATGGAGTTCTTCCTTCTCTCCTCACCAAGTTATGTATGTGGAGTTGCTCTTTTTTTCTGTTGTGATTCGCTTTGCATCTCAAAGTTATATAAAGTGAGTTTTGATTTACTTGATTTTCTCTTTGAGTTTTGTTCTAAGTTGCTTACATCATCTCCTCACCAAGTTCTGTATGTGGAGTTGCTCTTTTTTTCTGTTGTGATTCGCTCTGCATCACTTGTCCTAAAAAGTCTCATGAATTCTTCAAATTAACCTTTTTTCTTGAATTTGAATAGTTGTTTGATGGTATGAGATAAAGTCATCCAGATGCAGTAAAAACTAACATGATTCCAAGCAATCAAAAAGGCATGCAATATTTTCGGGAGTGGACCTGTAACAAAGCCTTATTTCCGGTTGTAAAGCCAATAAAGAATAAGCAGAAACTTAGAAAGGTAAACAACATCCTCAAGAACGATAAAAAAGATATTTAAAACTATGCTTGTTGGTTGCTATGTTCAAGGAGAGCATCTACGTCCAAATAAAAGTAAAAAATAACTTCACGAATCAATCTGCACTCCTGGAGGTTGCCTTTTGTTATCAAAAGTTTTAAATTTTTGAAGAAGAAAACGATACAATGTCATCATTCAACCTTAAAATAATCTGAAGTAAAAAAAAAAAAACCATTTGGAATAAATTCATATATTTAGTAACAAAATCATGTCAGTCAACCATTATACTGTCCTCACAGTGCGAAAAGAAATACTAAATTGAAATATATAGCAAAGGCTAAAGATACCTCAACTTCCAAAATGTTAGACGATGAATGTGAATAAAGGAAAGGTTGGCAAAGCCGCCTAAATCGTGATTCCCCTTCACAATGAACAAATAACTCCATTGCAAAAGACGGAGGAGAAGTTGCCCTGATTATGCAAGTCCAGCATAAGCAAAAGAAGAAGCATTTTTAATAAGTTATGTGACGAAATGTCATTGTAACTTAAAAAATCATTGTGAACCTAATTTTACAATAGGCAGACTATGAGAGTATAGGCAATTTAAAAAAAAAAAAATCTCAGTCTAAGAACTCATTCAATGTTTCTCCTAGTTCCAAATAAATTCAAAATATTAAAAAGCTTCCAGATGCTTGGAATCAAGCTCTCTTTAAAACTGCTTTTAGCGAGGAAATACATCGCAGATGGTTTCTATTTTGGCTCAAACAAGAAAACGTGTATGAATAAAAATAGGCCATTCTTTTATGTAAGAAGTTGGCCTCACCCATTTTTTAATGATCAGGCATAAGCACAGAAAATTTTACAGGTCCTCTGACCCATATGTCAGCAAGGAGCCAGAGAGTATGGAGGAAACCCAATATGCAACTAAGGCAACAAAAAACCTAGTAAATTTAGGACATAAAAATCTCTAGAACAATAGTCTTTCATAAATAACAGATTGTTGATACAAAAATGGTAGCATCGCTGATTAAATATTTTTGCATAAAAATCAAACAATGGTATATGAAGTCATCACATCAAAATTATGAGTGCATTAAATACAAGGAATAAATAATCTAACAGAACGATATATAATTTGAGTGCAACAGGGAATGGCAATGAAATTTAATTGAAACTAAATGCTTTAAATAAAGAGGAATTTCATGTGATCATGTCTAATGTTCCTGAAAAAAAAAAACTGATTTTCCTGAGACATGTTCAACACAGATGAAGGCCAGCCAAAAAACCCTTGTATGTCTACAAACTTCATGAGAAAGTAGGTCAATAGAAAGGTACGTAGAACAGGAGGAATATTAAGAATCTAAGGTTGATAGAAACTCTGGAGACAGAATAGAGTGGGCCAAATGCAAAAACAAATTAAAAATCTCAAATTTATGGTATTAACCATGGTGTTAATGTACCTCGTCTTCCAATACACCATGAACTAAATCATACCTTAAATTCTTCTCTTTCTTCACTACTTTTGTTTTTACATCCATTATATTGCCTACACATTTTCTAGACTGTTATATATATATATATATATATTCTCTAAAAGTTATTTGTGCTGATAATAATGATGGTGGATACCAAGTATAACTTATCATTTATGAAGTGCACAAGTCAACATCTAATGACTCGTCAAAATATCCACAGAAAAAAAATCCAACAATTATGCATAAATTGGTTAAAAAAAAGTTTAAATCACCAAATAGTCCTCCGACTCTTTGTGTGCAACCAATTTAGTCTCAAAATATCATATATCTCCAATTTAATCCCTCAAATATACAAATTGATCCAAAATAGTCTCTCGTATAGAAATTATGCTATAAAATATATCTCAAATTAGTCACTTACAACACAAAATTGAGATTCCAACATAATCACCAAGAACCATTTTGAATTAATTTTATATAATCATGGGACTAAATTGGAGAAACGAGTATATACATGAAAATATAAGCGTAGCTACAATGGCAGATAAGATTAGAGAGAGCGCCTTAGATAGTTTGGTCACATAAAACATCGGCCTTCCAATGACTGAATTAGAAGAGGAGATGTATTAGATCCATGTTGCACCGATACGGATACGGCGATACGGATACAACACGATACGAAGATGGGACACGCCAATTCTTAAAAATACATGATACGGATACGGCGCGGATACGACATTATAATATATAAATAATACATAAAAATTAAGAGAAGTAATCAAAGTGTAATATTTGAAATGACAAAAAAATTGAAATAAAAGTAAGCAACAACAAAAACAAGAAGATAAATTGTTCAGGACATGAAATTTCAACTATTCAATAGAAGGAATAATAGGATTAGCTTCTTCAATGGTTTGTCATTGAGTTTCTATATCATCTTCAATAAATATCATAGCTTCTAATTCAGTCTCATCAAGTGAAAGATTAGCAATTTCTAATATTCCGATATCCTCAAGAGATTCAAATCCATCTCCAGCAACATCCAACATCTTGTTGTCTCCTTCCATATAAGTTGGAGTTTTCCTTGAGAGAAGCCAAATGTTTGTATGCACATAAACTAAATCTTCAGCCCATTGTGGAGTAATTTTATTTCTCTTCATTGATTGGATGAACAAGTATGTGCTCTAATTTCTTTAACAATAAGATGAGGATGAAACTTGACCAAGCAATTTTATGGTGATTGTTTGAAGTAGAGGTACTGAAGCTCCATGTATAATCCACCACATTTTCGGATCAATCTTCCACCTATCACGCAATGACTCTTAGTCACCAAAGTTCTCTAAATAACAAAAAAAATTAGCAAGCTCAATATTGACACTTCTTCTCTCCTCATTTGGAAAATAACGCTTCAAACATGTTTTACTCATATTTGAAATTTCTAAATCTTTCTATGGAGAAACTCTTTGAGAATCCTCTTGAAGTCATTCTTTAGTTGAATATCTTCAAAAAATATTAAAATGAAAAAATGTTGAAATTACTAAACAACAAATTGTGAGTTAATAATGAATGTAAATTAATAATGAAAAATGTTGAAATTTACCTGAGATTTAGTGAGTGAGCCAAGCAATGTAAAGGTGTATTACTTTTGCTCCACCTATTTTCTAGAATAGCATAAATAACATCACAGAAGCTTGAGTCTTCATGAAGTGTCTTTCTCTCATTTCTATATATAATTTCTTTTACTTTGGCAAGCATTGAATCCCATATCTCATAAATAAAATGTAAACAAGACTTATCCATATCTACTACTCTCAACATCTCATAAATTTGATCTGTGAAATTTATGATGTTTTCAATTTCATCCCACCATAAATCACCTAAAAGCTTCTCTTTTATGTATTTAGCCTTTCCAACATCATCTTCCTTATAATAGGACCATTTGTCATTGATCACCCCTAGATGTAAATTAAAACACTCTCCGCAAGTATCCACTCCATTGTATCCTTCTTCTCAAGAAAATGCAGTTTTAGGATTGATGTTTATATCATGTTTGTGTCAAAGTTTGTAAGCGTCGTTTGTAAGAGTTTTTGTTTGTAAGTCCTTTTATGATATAAAAAGTTTGTGTTTGTTTTAATCTGTATAGTTTTATGAGTTCTTGATATTTTGTAGATCCTAGAAAGAGTTTTCTTTTGTGATCAAAAATTTGGGGCCCTCTCCCAAATTTTTGATTGCATCAAATTTGGTATCAGAGCAAATTAGGAAGTCCTAGGATTTAATTTTCAAGTCTTATTTTTGGTTGTCAAGTTTTGTTTTGTCAAAGTCAAGTCTTGTCGTGAGTCCTTTTTGTGAGTCTAAGTTTTTTAGGTTGAGTCTTTCTTTTTTTGAGTCGTCTAAAAAAATGAAAAAAAGACAAAAATAGTAATCCAGTGGAAGAAAGCAATCCAGAAAAACTTGAAGATCCTCTTTCAATGGACAGATGGATTCCGTCAGAATTAACAGATCCACTACAGTATGAACTGTACAAACTTCAATCATGGATGCATTTGTGTACAGAAAGATACATGAAGAAGAAGCAATGTTTACAAGATCAGTTTCTGCCAAAACGAGAAGAGATCCTGAAGAAATATGAAGCAAAGATTCAAGAGTTGGATGCTCAGTCTTCGTCTCCTCGGAAGAAAACAAGAATTGACTCATCGGGAGCTGAGTCTTCAAGAAGGGGAGTCTGATGTAGGCAAGGGGGGTCAAATCAAATCCTAATATTTGATTTTTGACTTCTCTAGCTCATTAATGTCAAGTGGAAAATTAGCTCATTATTCAACTAAAAATTAGCTCATTATTTCTTAAATTTGGCTTTTCTTCTTCCCCCCCCCCCTCCAAACATTTCCTTACCCTTTCCTCTCCCTTTTGCTTCTTGAATTGCCTTGGTTCCCTGCTGGTTTTGACTCTTGGGCTGCTACAGCTTTTCTGCTGGTTTTCTCTCCCACGGGTTGCAGCTGCCTCTTTAGTTTGTTGCCTTCTTTACTGCTGTGGCCCCCCTTTTTACCGTGAATTGAACTTACCTGCTGGAACCCGAGAATTGCCTGCTGGTTTCCAGTGCTTGGCTGCTGGAACCGTAGCCTCCTTCCTTGTATTTTGCTTTGCCGTTTGGGATTTCAGTAAAGTGACTATTGGTCTTTCATTTCCCTCATTTATTTGGGTATTTGAAGAGATTTTGGGGCTATTTTTTTTTTACAGAATTTGGACAGTTTTTTGGACTGATTTGGTGGCTGTATGGGGAGGAATTTCAAGAGTTTTTTACTGTTTTCTGTGCAGTTTTCTACTGCAGTTTTTAGGTGCCTTTTGGCCTTCTATTTTCAGCTTTTAATTAATATTTTGGGCTGTTTATATTCCCCTTTCATGCCTATATATAGAGGATGTTTTGTGGCTGTTTTAGGGGTGTTATAATGTGATTTTTGAGACAAAACCTGAGAGGTTTTTCTTGGAAAAAGCTTGAGAGCTTTGTTCCACTTCTTCTTCTTCTTCTTCTACTTCTATGGAAATCTTGCGAGCTATTTCGAACCTTCGTCTTGGCTTTTAACCTCTTTCATCTCTCCGCAAGTATCCACTCTATTGTATCCTTATTCTCAAGAAAATGCAGTTTTAGGATTGATGTTTATGTCATGTTTGTGTCAAAGTTTGTAAGCGTCGTTTGTAAGAGTTTTTGTTTGTAAGTCCTTTTATGATATAAAAAAAGTTTGTGTTTGTTTTAATTTGTATAGTTTTATGAGTTCTTGATATTTTCTAGGTCCTAGAAAGAGTTTTCTTTTGTGATCAAAAATTTGGGGCCCTCTCCCAAATTTTTGATTGCATCAAAATCCCTCCCCCATTGCCCCCTCTCTCTCTCCACTTTGCCACCTAAGCAACATTTAATGCCTCCTCCAATTAACCATCAATCCTCCCAATTATCTCTACCCGTTGGAATTGAAATTAATTTCAGAAAAATCTGAATCAATTTCCCTCCAATTCAAATTCAAACCAAGAATTAACTCCCCCCCTCTTTTCCCTCAAACCTGATCTCCCTTTCCCTTCATTACCCGGCAACAATACCAGCAAGCTTCTTCCTGCTGTCACGCCATCCAAAAGGTTTCCACACCCGCTGCCTCAAGTTCCTGGACGTGCTACCCTGCTGCCCTGAAATTCCTGCAAAGGAAAATCAGCAGTTTCACTGCTAAGAACCCTCCTGGTGCTGTCCAAAGCCTTCATATGGCTGTTGTTCAGAATTTCTAAGTTATAGGGTTGCTGTCCAGAAAAATCTCAGCAGTTGAAACAGCTGTTCTGCAGATCAAAAGTCCTCCAACTGCCGCACAATTCTCCAAACAGAATTCAGGTTGCTGTCCAAAGAAAATTCAGCCAAAAGGGGCGACTGTCTTGCCCGGGAAGATCTTCTAATTGCTGTTCCAAGTCCCAAACCCAGGATTAGGTGATCTCTTTCCCTCATTCTTTATTTTCCTAGTCATTTTCTAATGTGGAATTAATTGATTCACTGAGAAATCTGAGATTATGTTAGCTCTACCCGCTAAAGCCTAGTATTTTAAAAATGTGAGAGTAGAGTGAGGGGTCCTTGCATAGCAACTATCCTCATTGTTAATTTAGGGATTTATTGTTGAAACCATTCATGTATGCAATGTTAGATTGACTTGATTGTTTTATGATTTTAACTATTACGCGTGTGATTCAGCCTAAGTTTATTTTATCGCTCTTAGTGTTTTCTTTTGTCATTAGAAAATTCATTGTGAAGATATGATTATTGTGGCTTCTAACACTTAAGCGTGCAAACTCTTCAAGTAATTCAACTTGCATGATCGTATTACATCATCTTCATACCAATATTGAATAAGTGGCTGAAATACTTCAGTACTTGAAAACATTTTCAAGGTATTTCACAAAAGGAGAAGGCATGCCAAATGAGAAATTACTGAATTAAAACCATAATTTTCACAAAAGAAATTATCATGTCCGAAAGCATTATCTTTCCAGTTAATTTTGACTGGCTAAACAACTTGATAAATTAAACTATCTCAAAAAACATGTCTCACATAATATTAGTTTAAATTATATCAAAGCTTTATTACGACTAGATCAATGATTAGGGCCCATTTTGGGAATCAAAAGCCCAGCCAGTATGGCTGCAAGTCTAAAAAGAAGGAATAGCAAACGTGATTGGGTCATGCACTCAATGCAATTACTGTAGTCCAACAGCGAAACAGGACCATAGCAAAACCATATTAAAAAGAATTGTTCTAACATATCATTGCAGAATAAATTTTGTTGAAATTATAAGTAATATTTCCCTATCTCCAATCAAAAGCAAGTGGAACAGTAAAAAATTGAAAAAAAATATTAAGTTAGGGTAATTTATCAATCATTCTTGACCTCAAGCACATAAATAGCAATCTTGAAGACAAAAATGATGAAAGTTTTCAGAATAAAAAAATAGCCCGGAAAGTTAACCAGGATTCTAATTATATGGCAAAAGCAGCTCAAGGAAAAATGCAAAATAATGGATTAAGAAAATTCAAGAGCAATTTAGTGTAAAATTGGAGAATTTTAGATTTGGTGCTTTTCTTAAAAAGTTATAAAATACTGAACTCGCAAATTGAAGAGATGGGGGTAGGGGAAAATAATGGTGTTAAGAATCGTCTATGGAATGAAAAAGCAAACTTTAGATTAAATATACAAACTAATACTAGAATTGCAGCTTCTGTTTTCAATGCAATCATAGACATTATAGGAACGAAAATAACATGTGAAATAATTGTCAAACGAAACTTCAACGATAAGCCTGTAACATCATACCCCATAAGTGAAAAGGGTGGAGTAGATAACGGTGAATTCAACTCTAGAAACTCGCAGGCAGATATAACAATAGGTTCAGCAAAGAGGACCTGCAAAAAATACAAGTTAACCCCATCTTCCGTTTATGCTAATCTAAGAACTTTTTCTGGAAAAAAAAAATCACCATACAGCATGGCCGCGGAAATTGCAAGATGGCATGCATGTTGCACTTGACAAGTTAAAAGGTAAAGGCACGCCCATTGGTGTATTTTGTAAGGTTCCAAGAAACAAGGAGTAGAAGGAAAAAGATCAAAATAGAAATGGAAAAATGTTCCATAGCAAAAAAAAAACAAATAGCAAAGAAACGAAAAAAAGTCCTTTAGCCAGTTCATATGCCTCCATTAGAAATATAATAAATTGAAAATTAGATATGGATCTTCCAAAGACCTGTCATTTACGTACAATGCATGCTCAGTGAAAAATTACTATCTAGCAATCATGCTCAAATAATATAAACAATACAGCTTCCTCACACTTCTCTTATGTAGTGAAACATTGAAAATTTGATCAATTGTTAAAACATAAAAAGGTTAAAAAGATAAAGGAGATAGCCAAGTGAGGTTCGAGAGTAAGAAAACAACATATTGGAAAAATTTTAAGACAAGGATGTATAAAACAAAGCAAACTGACCTCATCAACATACTCGTCAAGCAATGGATGAGTGAAGGTCTGTGCAAACAGGACATAAGGCTCTGGGCGACCCATAACTCCTCTTCTTACATTACAAAAAATCTGTGAGGCATGCCATGTTCATAAGAAAATAAGCCAATATTGGAAAAATCTTAGGCAAGAAATCATCCAAGAAAAGAAACAAAGTACACCGTGTGGTGAGAAGGGAGTAACAGAATCGTGTAAAACGATCTGAACTATTTTGCTACAATAATAGACAACTTCAGCAAGGGAATCAAAGAATTATTAATTAGCGTTCAAAAGAGAACAATTTTTTATCATAGGTTGATAAGCCCCACACGAATGTCAAAGACTTCGCACAGAATAGACCATAAGGTGATATTTTCAATTTTTATAATTTAAACTAGTACATCCACAAAGCACATAACAATATCAACAAACCCACATTAGATCTACCAAAAACCTAAAAATCCATATAGTTATATCCACCAAAATAAACTATCACAGTCATTCACCATAAGAGGAATATAAAGCCCACAATATACATCTACATCCAACCACTAATTGTTTAACGCGCTATTATAGTAGATATATCTTAAACTATGTAGTAGTTGCACCAAATAACCCTAATCTAAGAAAATCAATATATGGGGGTACGATCACTAAACTCAATAGATAGTGCTAAAATTAAGAATGTAAGTAGCATGGAAAGGACATTCAATATGCACGATGAAACCCATTCAAAATCCTTTAAAGTATATGTTATGATAACAGTGTCATGCAAACAACATAAATATATCTAACATAATTAATTTATAAGTCCTGCCAACAACATTAGTGCACTATTATGATCAATGCACAATACCAAAAAGCTATGATCAATCAACATTAATGATGTCATGGCAATAGACAGTATGCCCAATTGAAGCAAACACTAGTGAAGTTGTCCTCCAGTGGTTCCACAATTCCACCAAAGACCCATCCATTCCAACAATAGATGGACCCATCAATCCATGCTCATTAGCGATCACAGTAAAACATACTACCTCCGGAAGTTGACTATGCAATTTACAGGGAAAAATATCTCATGCAGTATAATAATAATTATACCATATCAATGATATAGTAACCAATAATGCAGCCCATGAATGTGCAAAAAAATACCTCCTATCATGCTCAATGAAAGATGTTTAATTTTTTTCAAGAAAAAAAAATGAAGATGGAATAAATTTTTTGCAAATATTCATTGGAAGTCAACATACAATTAGTGTGCCAAAAAAAATGCTTGGGTAATATTGTAATAAATATATAAGTATGTTAGGATTAAAGTAGATCTACAAAACAACGTTTCAACAATCATATATGCATACAAAAATTTAATTGTCTATGAACTCCAAAACTACAACTTAAGTATGATCCTAGTCAAGGACATCAATTTCGACTCCCTCAAAATCCACCAGCCTGAAACAAACACCCTAAGTTAACTCACCGACCTCAGCATTGACTCCCTCATAATCCTACAAGCTGAAACAAATAGCTCAAGTCAACTTCCATTGTAAGGCATGCACTCCATTAATAGAATATATAATGCACCAAATCATCTAAAAGTTTACTTAAATGAGTCCCCGTGACCTACTAAACATTTAACATCACCTCAAAGTCCATATGATCCAATAATTTTGAGCTTTTACTATTTTATTTCATCTTCAAGGAGCATTATTTGTGGGATAAAATAAAAAAACAAGGGTCCTACTTCCTAGCATAACCGAATATTACTTATCATGGTATCTTTTCTGTTTAACCACTGTGAATATAATCCACAAGAATAAAGTACCCAAAAACAACAAAGACCCCGAATTACTTCCAACCCATTAAATAATTTGAGAGAAAAGTTACTAATGACAAATCCATGTTTTCCTCATCAAACAACTAAATAATCATTGGAATTATAGTATATTGAGAGTGATATTTTGATAAATTTAGCCAAATTTTCAAAACACTCCATGGATTGTCATGTTGATTTGTTCGATCATACACTATTATTTTAGCATATTGGTGTCTTAATGATGCAATCAATTATTTTTATTTTGTATTTTGTACTTCTTACCTTTTGAATATTATGTAATTTTGTACTCTTTTTTCTTTTATATATCCTATGATGGAAGAGAACCAATGAACATGCTAGGTTGGTGCTCTTAGGTAATTTCTCTCCTTTAGTTTTTCCACTCATGATGAATTTGTTTGCTTGCTTCTTTTTGGCTAAGTGGGCATTTATTTATGGGCTGATATTTTCTTATTGGGCTTGGCCCATTTCTCTTTATACCTTGGTTGTTTGGTGTCCTAGGCTTGATATGGTTTGTTTGGTGGCTGTTGGATTTTCTGTTGGGTTCCAATGTAGAATTCAAATCCTCTCTGCTTGAATAAACTGGTTGTTGGTTCCCTGTGTTATCCGTTCCCCTACCTTTGCTATTTTCTATGTTGTGTTGGCTCCTATTGGCTACTTGGGGGAAGCACATTTATGTGGTTGTTCGGTTCATTTTCCCCTATAAATGGGGGTTGTTTCCTGCTTGTGGGGGATTGGTTGTTGGTTGAAATCTTCTCTAAACATGAGGGTTTTTCTTCCTAGCTTGAGAGTTACCATCTTCCTCTATCTAATTCTTCTTCCAATCTTCTATCTATTTCATCTCTTCACGATTTCCCTTCCAATTATATCCTTCTTCTCCAAATATAGTGAGTGTGGTGTGCTGTTTGGCCGGTTTATTGGTATTTGCCGGAGGAGTGCCGATCGGTGTTGGATCAAGATTTTTGTGGCGAACCTCTGGATTGATTTTTTTTAGCAACAATACCTAATTTTCAGATTTGAATGTGAGGTGACCTTTTTTTTAGGTTGTTCTGAGGGTAATTTATTTTATATATTAGTTTTTTTTTGCTAAGTTTTCTAGTAGTTCTCTCACATCGGTTTCTATTAAGTTTTCTTTCTGATGTCGCTGGCTTTTGTTTACTGAAGGAGGTGTCCTGTTTTATCCTAGTGTTCTCCTATTTGGTTTTGGAACTTAGGTTTCACCACTTAATGATATTGAAACTAAGCTCTTTTAAGCTAGTTAGATTGTTCTTGTCGATAGTCGATACTCTGAATTAATATACAAGTATGCATAATACGAAGGCTGTTTGATCCTTCAATTATTATGTCAAAGTTTACATTCATATTTTAAGTGTTTGATTTGAGCCCATTTACTGTTGTTGAGTAAGTCATACATGAACTACAACATAATAAATTTCATAAACCCAAATTTCTGTTTCAGTAAAAGCAGTAAAAATTAGGGTTTACCAAACATCTAATATTGAATTACAAAATATAGGCCCGCCAACGCCGGAGGCAGCGCTCACTTCGCTCGATTGAATCAGTAGAGAAATGGTTGATTTTATAAACGGCTGGATTCCAAGGAAGACAGCAGTGGACGAGCCGCGACCTCGAAAATGAAGCTCATTTCGATCGCGCAGACAAGGCCTCGATGCATTTTTCTTTAATTTGCAGTCTATGATAATGACGATGACGAATGAGAATGCACAGGTCGCGAGATGAATGGCTCAATCGGGAGTAAGTGGGTACTCAAAGTTCGGTGATGTTTGGTAACAGGATTTAAGCACGACTCAACCTTAGGGGCTGTTTGGATGCAGGATTTAGACCGGATTTGAAGCGGATTTGAGCTAAATCCAGCCAAACGGCCAAAATGCAAAACCAAATCTCACGGTAAATCGAAGCCGCGGTTGACGGAAAATTCCTTCTTTTCGTGGGAAATCCCGGATTTACGAAATCCTTTGGTTCGGCGGATTTACGGGATTTGGCCGAAGAAGCGCGCGAAAGGGAGAAAGTTACCTTCGCAGCAAGCGAGCTCCCGTTGTTCTTCGGATCAAAAAATGTCGTAACTTCCGCTGCAACAGGAAGGGAACGTCGTCGAAGGAGCGAAGTCGAACAGCCACGAAGAATACCTCGTGTAAAACTTTAAACTGCGAAGGAACGAAACCAAAAGAAATGGAGAAGAGAAAGGCAAAACCTAAGACTCCTCTAAGCCATTGTTTGATAACTTAATTAATATAATTTAAAATATTAAAAATTAAGTAAAACTAATTAAATTATTAGTTAAATACTTAGTTATTTCAAAATAAACAATAGGATTAAATCTGATTTTAAAAGAAAATAATAATTATAAAATATTATAAATCTTAATTAATCGCCTTAAATCTTAATTAATCGCCTTAAATCTTTTAATCACCTTAAATGCTTTAATTATTCATGAAATGCATGTCAAATCTTTTAACCACCTTAAATTCTGAATTGAATAGTCAAATAATCACACATGATTTATCATAAATGTTGCCAAACAATTTTCAGGATTTAACTCCCTTAGGATTTCGTAAATCCGGATTTAAAGGATTTAAAAAATCCTTCTTAAATGAAATCATGGGTGCCACCAAACAACCCCTTGGCGGGACTTAAGCATGATTTACGTCAGATTTGTCGTAAATCCTGCAAAACGCTTTGAGAGCACGCAGTAAATCTGAATATATTGTAAATCCCGTTGTTTAGCGGATTTATCGGGATTTATGGATTTACTAAGTTATCCTGCGACAAGCAAGTGAGAGCCTGTCTTGAAGGAGGAGGCGAAGATGGTTACCTTTGCGGCGAGCGAGATCCCGACTTAACTTCCGATCTGACGTCGTCGAAGGAGGAGGCGAAGAAGGCGGCTCTTTCAAAGCAACAAAGAAATGGCGACGAGGAAAACTGGAAAAGCAATAGGCTAACACTAATTGGTACGAAGAAATGGAGATGAAAAAGCGAACCCTAGAGACCTCCATCAAATTAATCTAATTAGCATAATTAACATAAGAGCATTTTATAAAAAAAGAGCATGTTTTAAATTTAAATTAGCTTAAAAAGTATGTTAATAAAAAGAATTAAAAAGTAGCAAAAACGGAACGTAATAATTTTGTTTCAATAAAAACCAGAACTTCACCTACCGTTATTTAGCTTGGTTGGTGGGCGAGAACGGTTGGGAATCTCCCAACTAGTTCTTGATTCCCCTTGAGCGGCAGCGCCTCTTAATTGGGGTTCAATCAAGTGCATGATAAGAGGTTTCTGGGGTGGATGCCTCTTCTAGGTCAGTCAAGGATTAATCATGCCGTCAAGTTCCCTTTTGGAGATAGCAGCAGGCGGATACCCGTTAAAAAAAAAAATGAACTTCTTTATGCAGTTCCTACTTTGACAGTGATTTTAAAATGAATCAGAACACGAAATTATGGTTTCTTGAGAAACCAATTTTTAATTTGCATTATGGCATTATTATAAAAAATAAATGAAATTATATTTTAAATTTTATAAACACATTGTATATTAATTAATTGATTAGTTTTTAAAATTTTCTCTTATATATTTTTACAAATAAAATTAAGAGTTTATGAAAAAAAATTAAAAATTTATAGAAATCAAGGAAGTAAAGTCAGGTTTTAGTCAAAATGGAAATTGGGTAATGAAGTTCCGATTTCTATTGAAATCAAATAATTAAGTTCCTTGTTTGCTCCTTTTTAAGTTATTTTATTAGCATGCTTCTTTTTATAAAACAGCCATAATAAAATTTAAAATACTAATAATTAATGAAATAATAAATTAATATTATACTTGATATGTAATCAAAAAATTATCTTAATCGAGCACTAATCTCGAGGCAAAATCAAGCAGAAAATTTCAAAAAATAAATCTGGGATCACCTGAACTTCGATTTCAGCAAACTTACAGTCAAAATGAGCGTCTTGAAAATACAAACCCAACAACACTAAATTCAACTCGATTGAGTTCAAATGAGTCTGAATCGAAGACCCAAAGCTCTGTTGGAAGGTTCAAACTACAATTTGGATTGTCAAACGATTTCCAAACATGACATGCTTATAGTCGAATCGAGCGACTCGACGAGATGAATCCAACGAGCCCAAGATCGCCAAATTCTGATTCGTTAAGACCTTCAAATTTGTGACAAACGGTCCACTTTCAAGGAATTCAATATGGGTCATCCATCCGAACCACTCCACCTTTGCCCTTGATCCACCTCTTATTTACATGTCATGACATTCTCAAAAAATTATAAAAAGTCCCTCATTTATCTTGAGAGGGGACCTAAGCAAGAAGAAGAAAAGAAGAAGGAGAATATAAGAGAATAAGGATAGGAGAGAAGAAACTACTCCTCGACCACCGCTCGGAATTATGCCTGACTTCCAAGTGACGTCAGAATTCTGCCCGACTTTCATGGGACGTCAAAAATTTGGCCAAGTAACGCCAAAGTTTCTCCCAACTTTCTAGTGACGCCGAAACTCCGCCCAAATGATACAAGAATTCTGTCTGATCTCCAAGTGACTTTGGGATTCAACCCGAATACCCAATGTTGTCGAATCTCAATTATTATTTGTAACTAAACTTCAATTCATGAGTGGATTATTATAATATGATCATCCTAAACTTGAAGGACGAGTCAGCCTCTTGTACCCCAAGCAAACACTTGTGAATTCATTTATACTAGGCGTGGCCCCGTGTTTTTCCCATTCCAGGATTTTCCACATAAAATTCGGGTGTTTTTATTTCATATTATTTATGTGTTGGATATCCGTACAAAGCTGAAACGGAAACTTTCTAACTCTATCACCTTGTATATTCTAGTTCGCAACATTTAGACGCCGTCTGTGAGAAATATTACCCACAATTTCAAGTGTTGCTACGATGGCTAACAGGCGTAACAGCCGTATTGTTGGAGCTTCTCGCTCTAACTCCCACCAATCCTGAAATCAGTCTATGAATCATAGATGTTTGATATCTGCCTCTTTTTATCCTGGGGGGCAAAATGTTGTCGGAGAAGGAACTTCAGGGCCTTCCTTGGATGACCGAATTAGAAAGATGGGGGAATCTCAGAATGAGATCCTTCAACTCCTACGAGATACTTGACGACCGACACTAGCACCTCAAGAAGAGATTCTTCTCCCACGAGATCCACCAAGGCTCGAAGATGTTCAACCCGAACATCTTCATGGTGAGATTCCCCTTCCTCCGCCAAGAATGCGCCCTCTGATACATCAAGAAAATGAGCTTGATGACACAGCAAGCTCTACCCATACTTCAAACGTAGGTCGCCAACCCCGCATTCCTTCGGACATCCCTAAGTACTCATCCTGATAGCATATTACTGAACTCCCTCGTAATATTTTACGTCATGAATTATGAAGATTTATCCAAGAAGAGTTTTCCATTAGGGGTATAAGGCAATTTCATAGTCAGCGGGACTTACAGGAGTCATCACCCCGACCGAAGCCATCCTTCAACACCCCATTCCGGCAGGATTGAAAATATCGAGTATTGATTCTTATGACGGCACATCTAACCCATACAAGTATATCGATCATTATAGGACCATCAAGCATATCTAGCGAGCCTTTGATGCACTACTATGCCAAGTTTTCCCTGCTACCCTCAAGTGACAAGCACGAATGTGGTTCTATTCACTCCTAGCTGGAACAATCCCCACTTTGTCATTTTAGCCAAATTATTTGTTGAACAATTTGTCGCCAATCAGAGAATTGTCAAAGATTATTCCCAACTTTCTGGGATTCATCAGAATGAAGGAGAATCACGGAAGGAGTATTTTCAACGATTTTCTAAGGAAGCTAAACAAATTTTGGGAGTAGATCCTGAATTGTTAAGAGAAATTTTCCTTAGAGGTCTTCATCCTGGTCCGTTTTACTCGGCACTTATGTGAGATATGGTTCCTTCATATGCTAACTTAATCCATCGTGTGGAGGCACAAATATCATCATATGAAGCTATCAACTCCCACAGGAAGCAATTTGAGTAACCTTCCAGAAAGTGCAAAAATGTCCTACAATGAATAACTCATTCTTGCAACAAAAGAAATAATGGAAGAATAGCTTGCCTCCTAGACTTCCATTATTACAGCAAGGATTTTGACAATGGAAGAGTGTATACCGCTCAACGCATCTCGAACCAATGTATTGATAGCAATTCGAGATCAAAAAAATATTAAGTGGCCTAATACTTTAAAGCCGAACGTAGGAAATCAGGAATAATACTATCATTTTCACCACAGTCGTGGACATACTAAAACTTGCAGATAGCTTAAGGATGAGATTGAAATGCTGATTCAACAAGGATATCTCCTACAATTCATTCAAAACCCACCTACTCGAGATAAAGCTGGTCACACTGAGGGGCAAAATCAATAACAAAAAAGACAATCATTGAATAATATTTAAATAGTTAGTAAGATTAAATGACCATGCACTTCGGACATTTATATTATTAATGCTACTTATCTTGTTTCATCGTGTCTCCTTTTATGTTAAATATGGTGTCACTTTGATATCGCTAATATATTCTTTCAAGTCAAATATTGTGTTGTCCCCATACATATATTTAATGTGTTGAGTACAGTGTAACTTGTATATCCTTAAGTCATACTAGGGACTTATTATTGTCTTACATGACACAGTAATGTGTTGTTCACTCCATTTTAATATTATCTCATTTTAAATGATAAAAAATAAGAATAAAAAAATTATCGATGAATATAATATCTTTATCCATGATTTGAAAAATACTTAATCTTTATTGTGTCTCAATCACTGGATGATCAATCTCAAAAGGATTTGATCCAACCTCTTCCACACAAGTTAACGTCATCGAGCAGTGCTCTGACAAACAACCTCGGATAGGTCTTATATCATTGGTGGATCTCTCGTTCTCTTCCATACAGGTTAACGTCATCGAGTAGTGCTCTGACATATAATCTCGGATAGGTCTTACATCCTTAGTGGATTCTCTCGACCTCTTTCACACAGGTTAATGTCATCGAGCATTGCTATGACATACAACCTCAGATAGGTCTTACATCCTTGGTGGATTCTCTCGACCTCTTCCACACAGGTTAAAGTCATCGAGTAGTGCTATGATATACAACCTCAGATAGGTATTACATTCTTAGTGGATTCTCTCGACCTCTTCCA